TGGAATTAATGGACTGCATGTAACGAGGAAGATTATGAAGAGATAGAAAGATAAAAACATCGTTATAAAACACCATCAACAATGATATTTTCTTGCTCTAGTTAATATCCTAAAACACATTATTATCAACAGCAATTTATTATAAGCTGTAGAAGGGGGTAGACATAAGGAACACTAAATTATTTACACCATGGAATGAAAGGCAAATCAAAATTTACTGTCGTATTTTATGTTTGCGCTCCCCATAATACCAGTCGAAAGATAAGAAGGAGTACATTTGTTTTTGTTCATGGATACGATCTCAATAGGAACAGTCTTGTCTGTTTAAAAGTGGAAAAGAACCATACTGTGTAGATCTGAAAAGTCATTCATATATTTATATCCCTTATGTAAATAAATGAAATGGAAAAATTAATTGCGTTTCAGATAAATGTCCATCGTCCTATAGGTTACAAGAGCGCACCTATTCGTAATGCATTTTCTATAGGGTACCAGTGGTGTATCATATTTTATTTCTCAAAGACTACACAAACTAGAAAAAAATAGGTAGCAGTTTCTGTTACTTTGAATGTCAGAGTTCCATAACGACCAATAAAATATAAATGGTCAAGCGGCAAAAGTTGACCCAAAATGCCGTTGAAAACCAACGTCTATATTTTGGGTTAATGAAAAGTTCAAATTTTTAATGATATGGCTCCTACATGCAAACTAAATATATTTCTTATTCTTTGTAAAATATGAATTAGATTTTTTTTATTTTAAAAAATTATTGGATAATCTTTCGATTGAAAGTAATTTAAATCCTGTATCATCCAATCATAAGCCATACAAGATTCTCTTCTGAGTACAATCTTAGGGTAAAAAACTCTCCGGTAAAATGTAAACACATAATTGCGCTCTTGTAATCCGCAGTAAAATTTTTATCTCGCCGTGAAGTACTTTGATGCTGCATTTGATATAGTTTGATTTCAGTAGAATTTATTGTTAAGGATTATATTTGTCGACATAATATGAATTTTATTGTGCAACTATACGCAGCACATATCACTGTCGTGTGGGTATTCGATTTGATACTTTAGGTAGGCGTTTATCAGCATTTCTGACGCTGTAGTAATGAGTACATGTATAGGGTTCTGTAGTCTACGAGCTTTGTAATACAGAAAAAGTTGATTTTACGGCTCTGCAAAGTTTGTATACGGTTTTCAAAGAGACATTATTTGCCAAAAAAACGTATTTGGTCCACTGAATTGGTACCGTTAAGTCTAGTTTAATTCCTGCAAAAAATGCTGAAACTTTTAATTTTTATATATCTTAAAAATTAAGACTATTCCCTTTATCGAAATTGACCGGTTTGAATTCATAAAAACGTTAAAAACAGTTTTGCTTACAAATATACGAAAACAACCCAAAAAATGACATCATTTATTTTATAATTCGTTTAAAGCTTGTATATTTTTAATCAATGCAAGCTTGATACGAAAAATAATCAATATTTATTAAGAAACGATTTGATCCAGTTCAATTTCTCCCAACTTTGGAAGATCTATTCCTACTAATGCCAAAGTTATTCCCAATACGCCTTTTCCGTTTTTTTTTCGAGCGTCACTGATGAGTCTGTTGTAGACAAACGTGCGTCTGGCGTATAAAGTTTTAATTCTGGTATCTATGATGAGTTTTGCAGGACATTTATGTTTGTGTAAATGAAAAAGAAGCAGAAGCGTTGTGTTTTTTAAGCTGAATGATATATTGAATAATAAAATGAGCACAATTGTCTAATCTATCAAAATGATAATATAGCATGTTATTTATCTGGCGTTATACAAATTAAAAACATGTTAGGAAAACGAGCAACTGCATTTATCATCCTAACAAAGAGGCAACGGAGGTTCTTCGACATTCAAATTTCATAAATTTCCTTAAGATACAAATTATGCTTTACATCCACCCCTCCCATAAATGCAATACACACTAAAATGTCTCAAAATCAGAAAAAAGAGAATCGAAAAATTTACAAATTTTCTTAAATCTGATAATTACCGTCAAATTTTTCTTCTGTAGTTTTTGTTACATTTTTCCTCGTCACTCTGCTAGAGCAGTCAGTTTTTGATTCATTCATGCAGTCCGACTAGTTTGCCCATGCACGAGCCCAATATATTTATTCAGATATGTATACGTATCACGATTGGGCAAGGGGTAAGTACTTGTTGCGAAATGGAAAGTTGACACTTGGAAAGTAATGACCATCATCGTTGTCATATAAATAAATTCTTGTTTAAGTTCGCAATATCTAGGTAAAGATATAGTTGTTAAATTTTGCTTTGACATTAATCAACCCGAGTAGATAATATGCTCTTTAAGGACTGATGTATGTCGGGGAAACTCGACAAAGACTCAATTTAAGAACGAATCACATCATTTCGTCTACCAAGACAAGACTTTTGGATTAGAGAGTTGGAAACAGTCATTCCCAATGGATTAGATAGAATTCGCCAATAAAAGTTTAGATGCTATCAATATTAGCAATATTTTCCGGCAGAAATCTGTACAAAAAACTATACCTGATTACTACAAAAATAAAGATATAACTGTAATTTCATATACATACACCAAGTATATTGCATCCAAGATTTTCAACCACAAGAGGGTTTTAGAGGCCTTTAACCACAAAGATTTACATCGTCAAAAATACAATTATAGTCCAGCTGGTCATGTTTTTACTGGCGACCTTGGCATCGCAACCAATGAACCTAAGAGAGTTGTTAGCCAAGGGACTAAAATATTGAATTCCCTAGCCCATCAAATGGAAAAAGAACTTCAGGTTACTGATGGATGCAGTTGAAAACTATGCAAGAAAATGAATAAAGCGCGAACCAGACGAGACAGAACTGGTCACTTTGTGTGAATGGATCAAAGCTATTCGATCACGCATTCGAAAGCGCATTTTCGGTACTTATACATCCCTCGGATTTCAAATGTTTGGCTTTGAGCGTTCCTGATGAAGGTAAATCCAGAAAAGCGCTTCAGACGCATGACATTATTAAACGTGTTGTTTTCAATTTTTTAGAAACTACGATGTGCTATAAACACAAGGGTTTCTAATCCATTCAAGAACCCGGACGTTGTGGATGCTTTATCCTCTTTACATGACAAATATGTCGTTGTTCCAGCAGATAAAGCCTCCAATAATATTGTCTTGTATGTAAAAACCATTATTTGCAATGTCTCACAAAAGAGGTATAAACAGCAAAACTGGCAATCCTTCATCCTGCAACATCATTCACAAAGGATGGAATTTTACAAAATCACAAATATGTCCTTTTTTCTTTTGGTATTTACATAAAAAAAACCCCGAAGAAAATCTACCGTCATTATATTGGATACCAAAACTTCACATAAGAACGATACATCGCTGGATCATCAAGATGTGCTGACTACTATTCTTTCTACAGTAAAATATGACCTTCAAAAATATCGACCTGAGATATATTCAACCAGCGGTATCAATCAGATGTGGATTCTCAAAAATTCTAAAAATCTACTGTTAAATTTTTGATCACAATCTCTGCAATTTTGCAGCAACATTAAGACCTTTGATTTTTCAACGCTTTACACTACTATTTCCAATGCTCAATTGAAAGATCGACCTCAACAACTCATTAAACAAAGTTTTTTCTATAAAAATGGGAATCGTAGATATAAACTTCTTGTTTTTGGTTATAATAATTCTCGTGCATGTTCACACTATACGGACTTCATATACAGGAGAGTGACCTTTTACGCAGATACTGCTCCGACAGAGTTATGAGGAGGAAAGATTAAAAATGACATTCCGTAAATTTTATGGACACCATCACGAATTGAATGATCTATACGATGTGTCTGTGTCTAAACTAACCAACGACATTCTTGCCACATCTAAGATTGTGGTTAACCATCTTCGTCGTCTATCTGCTAGGTACTGAACGTGACCGATTCCCGAATATAACTATTTTGCCGAGTGTGAATTCGCATTACTATACAACGTGTCATGTATATAGTTATAATGTTTCTTTTTAAAAGTACGGTTGGAAATGGTGTTATGTCTTGTCGGTTGTGGTTTGAATTCTGTATTTTCGGTACATTTCACACAAATCTTATTTGCCAGTATTGTCGAGAGCTAATTTTCGTTTTCCATAGATAAGGTATTGTGTTAGTCCAAACAGTAATGACGTCGTCACAGCATTAATTCAAAATAGCCTTTCAAGACCGTCATAGTCATAATAATTATTTGGACTAGTATTGTGAAAAGAATTGTACATTTTTTGATCTCTTCCCATATAATTATACGAATTGCAAGATTACCTTTGATACTATGTTCGTCACAAAAACATGTCAGTTTTTGTGGCATTGATCCATTCATGTGACGTGCAGTCCGTAGTGTCATGTGCTGTCGTTAAGTCATGGTATATGTTGGTTATTATTCTGCCGTTTACATGTTTCATATGTACTATTATCTTATTTATTTATGTGTTTCTCTGTGCTGAGTGTTCCTGTGTTGCTTGTACTGTATTTTAGCGGTGTTTTTTAACATTGCCATATAAGTGGGAGGTTTGGCTAGCCATAAGACGAGGTTCAACCCACCATTTTTTCTAAAAATGTCCTGTACCAAGTCAGGAATATGGCAGTTGTTATCAAATAGTCCGTTTCTATGTATGTTGGCGTTTGTTTTTGTTGCAGTTCAGTGTTTCTGTTGTTCAGTTGTTTTCCTCTTATAGTTGATGTGTTTTCCTCAGTTTTAGTTTGTAACACGAAATTGTTTTCTCTAAATCAATTTATGACTTTTTGAAGCTGTATACTACTGTTGCCTTTATCTAAGCTATATCATGTGTATAAGAAACATTCTGTTTAAGTGTAAACAAAATCAAACAAAATATAATAAATGCGAAGAAAATGTGAAACTATTTCAAAAAGGTACATGAAAATATTTATTTATTCATATAATTCAATTTTTTTCTGTATTTTTTTTTAGTTCAAATTTGAAACAAAATAATCTTGAAACACATCTTTACTTAAAGTAACTTAATTGTTTTCAGGACCTGACGAGTTGATCAAAGCTTCGTGTGAAGAAACGCCAGTTGACACAGAACGCATAGTCTCTCGTCTACCTGAAAATGTAGTGTACGGAATAAGTTTTGTGTATATAAATGCAAGAAATCAACGATTTCCATTAATTTGGCTTTGCATTTTTTAAGTAATGAAATGCATCCTGACAACATTTATTCAAATCTGCATACTATTTTGATTATATTTGAATATCCCGCTATAATCAAGTACTAGCTCTACATGTGTTACAAAATTACATTACACCGATATTTCAACTCTTTTCAAATTGGCGTCACAGATATGCTGTCTTCTTTTCCTCAAATGCGGCATTACAGAGTCAGACTTATCACCAAGTTTGTATTTACACGAGCAACACGATCCTTGCTAGATGCGGAGCAGGATCTGTTTTCCATTTCGAAAAACATGAGAACAGTCCCGGTTTTTATCAAAGTTCGTATTGCATAGTTATTAGCTGTTTCTTTATCGTATTTTGTATACCGTTGTTTGTCTTTTGGTCTTTTTTGTTTTCATATACACAAAGAAAACAGCTGAACGCATTGTATTTTTGCGATTATTTGGCCCGTATCCTCATTACACTAATTGTGTCAAATCATCTTTTCCAAAAAACTTTGGATTGCTTAATGTTTTTCTTTGTCCATAGAATGGATCTATCTTAATCAAAATTGCCGTCAGACTACATCATAACGTTGTTGTCAGGAGGTTCACAACCTCCAACTTACAAAACTTGTGTTTGAGGATATGTGACCATGCTTGTTCTGGATAGAGGAGGCAGTAACAAATTTAAATTGGTCAATAAGATGTGGTCCTCATCTCCTTATCTCCTATAATGTATTAATTGTTCCCCCATTTTTTTTGTGTATATTTCAATGTCAGAATACAGAATATGAAATATATTGTCCTGTTTTATTTCCAGGTGTGAGTTAAATTTTCTGCACAAGTAAAAAAATACGGAAATGTGGTGTAATTGCCAATGAAACAACCATTCTCCAGGGTTGAAATAAATTGGATATAAGTAATTATTTGCCACCGTACAGCATTTAACAATTAGAAAACTCCATACCGTATAGTCGGCTATAAAAGACCTTGACGTGAAAAATACGAAACAATCCAAATGAGAAAAGTTACGACCCAATTTGTTAAAAAAAAATATAGAAAAGCAAATATGACTAACATTAACAAACGACAACCACAGAAACTACAAACAATTTGACGCCGTAATTTTGATCTTAACAATTCTTTAGATACCAAACAATATATGATAAGGCAATTTTAAATCCTTCGGTCAATTTTCTGACTTATCCGAAGATCTGGTCTTCAAATTGTTCAGTAGCTTTTATTAACCGGTTAAGAACAACAGCATACTGAATAAATTGAAAATATACTGAACAGTACTATATTGATTGCAAGCAAAACGTCTGAATAGTACTAAATTTACATCAGGAGTATATAAGAAAATATATTTAAACTCTTCACAAGACTGATCGTTTCTTGTTTCAGACATTTTTAAGAGGATATTAAATCGTTGTGAGCGTTTAAGACTAAAAGTCATTTACTAGTGATGTCGGGATTAAACATATGTCGGTGCGTCCAACCGCCCCTTAACCTGAAAAAGTGTTGAAACAGCACACCATAAGAACAAACTTTAAAAATGATTTGCAATTGGCTGCAATCATAGATAGGTACATGGCATAAAAACAACAAACATAAAACCAATAAAAACAAGGCACCGAAATGCGAGTACTCATAGTTACCGAAAGCTAGTTGTTCAAAGCTAATTACAACTAATAAATAAATCATGTTAAAAAAGGCAAAAAATGTATACCGCTGTTTAATAGTCATCAATCGATTTAACTGAAATAAGTACGGGCCACAAACCAAAACTGAGGGGAACATATCAACTATAAAAGGAAAATAAAAGGAACAACAGAAACACTGAACTGCTACAAAAACAAACGCCAACTCACATAGAAACGGACTATGTGATAACAACTGCATTATTCCTGACTTGTTATATAGATATGAAAAGATGTGGTATGAGTGCCTATGAGACAACTCTCCATCCATGTCACAATTTGTAAAAGAAAAACCATTATAGGTCAAAGTACGGTCTTCAACACGGAGCCTTAGCTCACACCGAACAGCAAGCTATAAAGGGCCCCAAAAATGACTAGTGTAAAACCATTCAAACGGGAAAAATAAACGGTCTAATCTATATAAGAAACGAGAAACGAGAAACACTTATGAACCACATCAACAAACGACAACTACTGAAGATTAAGTTCCTGACTTAGAACAGTTGCAAACAAATGCAGCGGGTTTAAAGGAGACATGACACGATTTTCAATTTTGTTTCAAAATGTTTATGTATACTTAACTTTCCCCAAAAATACATCGATAGCAATATAAGTGTCAAATATTTGGTAAAATATGTATTTTAATGAAGTTTTAATGCAACGATTTGTCGACCTGTCAAATATGCATATTTCCATCCCGGAAGTCACTCAGAACGAGGCTACTACGTCAGTGGTTCCTTTCATTCATATAGACATATGGGTACAGCGCAAATTTAGTTTCGATTATTATCAAACAAAACGCATGACAGTGATAAACAATGAATATATGTGATACCTATGGATTCAACATTATAATTAAAAAGAATATTGACATGATATTTTCTGTTTTTCGAATGACACGTGGACTTAGAAGGTGTAAAGATGGGACATGTTTTAAAAGCCCAAACTAAACTTCTTCCCGCCCACTTTCATAAGGAATGGGGTCTCGTGTGCCATGCCATGAGTTCATCATAGGTCACAGTTGTACGGTACAGGTGATTGAGTTTCGCAATTTCAGGTCTCGTTTGAAGTTGCAAGCTTCAGGTGTCACGCCACATGGGGGATTGATAAGATATAGTTATTACGCAATATTACTTCATAAGCTCTTTGTGAACATCCTGGATGTTGGTTTTGCTGAGGGCACAGGTGAGATTGGAATATATCAATGTTACAGTAATACAGGTACAACTACCTGATGTTTAATGAATACCTGTAGTACGACCATACAATACCCTATGCACCACCAATATTAATTACCCTAACCAGTGTTGATAACTAATTATAGACAACCTGTATATAGATCTTATTTTTATTGCTTTTAAGAATATGCAGATATAAAAAGGTTTATAACAGATGCATTTTTTTAATTGACTTCTTGAGATAGAAGAGTAATATTCCTGAATGCTTGCAAGTCTATAACTTCATAAGAAATTATTAGGCAAAAGCATAAAAAGCAAACAAGAAAATGATACGAGAATGTGAATCATATAAGACTTTTACATTCTTATATTGAACATCGGACAGATTCGGATGATGAAAAACATGTCTTTTTAAAATGGAAACTTAAAAATAAATGAAGAAAGTGTCATTTGAACCAATTATTTGGTATAACCGTACGGCCTCCAACAATGAGAAAACCCTATATCGTATATTCGGCTATAAAAGTTCTCAACATGAAAATGTGAAACAATTTTAACGAGAAAACTACGTTATTTATAACAAAATAATTTCCGCAGAAAACATTTGACAGAAAACCACTGATCTACATCAACTAATACATAACTCATGTTCTCGAAGACTGAAGGATGTTACATGTAAACATTTTCATGCTCAGTCCGATTGAAAATTTAACATTTTTTTTACAAATGACACCTTTTTGAAGAAATATTTTGAGAAAGAACATTATGTGTTGTGAATATTTTCCTGGACGCAATAAACAAATTGATTGCTAAATGATATTTGGGAAAGCGGTCTCTAAAAACACCGCAAAGGACCTATATGTGAATTTGAATTTACTTTGTGTAATTCCTTAAATTTGAATTTAGATTTATAAGGGTTTGGATGGAATTGCATACTTTAGAAGTGTAATATAACTATATTAATTATTTCAACATAAGACTAAAGTATTTTTTCTTTAAAATGTATGGTTTTAAAAGGTAAATAACATAACTCGTTACTAAATCCCAATACAGGTGCCTTCTTACCTTTCACCTGGTCAAGTATGCTATAGGTGTCAAAATTAGATTACTAAAACAACAGCCTCCAATAAATGTTTTGTATTATTTAATTTTATGCATAAGGTGGAACGTAATTAAAATATTGAATTGCATTGTTTACATAAAAGGGGGGAAAGTAATAAAATTGTTAGTTGAATCTCCTAATGCAGAAAAAGTGTGATAAAGGATTTGTCACTATACAAATCCTTGGCGTGATGTATGGTTTCCAACAAAAAATATTATAAGCATAACTTTTGGTGATAGTTTATGCCTATTTAAAGTCTCTACGTAACCAAAACAATTCTGGCGCACACATAATCATAACATTACCGTAACAGAGAGAACAAAAGAACAATTTGATCATCAATAATTATAAAATTTATATTTTCAATCATGATTAAAAGTAGTTTTATTTAAATAAAAAGAAATGAGGAAAGCGATTTATTTAATTTATTCATCAGACAAACCCATATGTATGGTAACAATCCGATCGGAATTGTCTGAAAAATCGTCGTTGTTGTACTTTTCGCATGAAGATTTAATATCCTTTTCTTAGTTATTTTCCACACACAATGGCTCAAATTGATGAGGTCAATTGTCTTTGTAGTTTGTCAGTAATTGGGGAAAGTGCTGTCAATAACGTCCATAGTGTATCGACATCGTCCCATGAGAGACATTTTCCCAGCTTGTAACCACTGACGTAAGCACGATCACGTGATCGTTATCTAATTAAAAATCATTCATTATGACAAGCGCTGGATTCTTTGATCTAAACAATGCCGATTAATCAGGTTTTGACCTGCAAAATTGTACAAAACATGTTTGAAAACTAATATTTATTAATTTAATAAAAAAAAAAAAAAAAAAAAAAAAATCGTGTCACGTCTCCTTAAAACGTTTTAATAGGTACCAACCTTCACCCTTACATGAAACAATAGTGTAACATCACAACATAGAAAGACACACTATAAAATATCAATTGAAACAGCTTAA